CCTGTTTTCATGCTGCCTCGCCGCTCCGTTAAAGCTTCTCTGCTTACAACATTTGTCAATGTTCGCGTCGTTTAACCATGGCCAGCCGACCGCAATCACTGTAGAAGTTGTATGTATGACGATTTTGCTGATCGCTTTATTATACGCAGACAATAAACAGCATTAAATGTGGCAAATTAGCATCGCTATGAACTCGATTATGATAGTGTTGCTTCCAAATGGTGACCAAATCAGCGAATTCACTTGTTCAACGAACATCAATGATCGCGTTAGTGGCAGAAATTGCTTCCGCAAAGTGACGATTTCACGCTGCACTCGTCGGCTGAAATGCATTCGCTGGCGTGAAGTGATCGCGATCTCGATCATGCTGCTCGTCACGTAGAATAAGGTCGATGAGGTATCTGTGCTCCTACAGCCGATATACAGCATACGACGTAACGACAAACATTTGACGAACCCGTCACGAATGAGGTATCGTCCGTCTCGTGCATTGCCGGTTTGAGGCAAGTTCTGATTAGCACTCACTCGGTAACTGCCTGGCACTACTGTAACTGCTTCCTCGGAATTCCATCGTCGACGGGGCTTCAGATCATATGCACCTATCACGCCGCCTGTCGTTCATTCGTACTGTATGCAATTTTGCCACGATCCTGAAACTAAGAGGCGCCAGTGCTATGAAAATTTCACTTTTTTGGAAGTTCGAGAGGGGCATTCATAGTCTCTGGGACACAGAAACTGGGTCAAAGTTTTCGCTACGTTGAGTGTCTTGTCGACCCTGCGGTCGGTCAGCCCTTGCGTATCATGTTAAGTGTGATCAATTATTGCATGCTGGAGTCAGTCACAAATGGAGTGCTTGGCAAATTATCCAGTTTTGATAAACGAGATATTGCATATCAAAGCACGATAGTCTGAGGCACAACGAGTGACCAAGGATTAATGAGGATTAAAACGAACAGCGCCATTTTTCATTCATCAGTTCTACATTGCACTGAAGTCGAACGATTTACAACCCATAAACGCCGTTTGCAGGATGTTTGATACTTGTCCAAGTCATCAGGCTCATTTTAAGCTATATTTTAGATGTTACCTTAGTCTTTCTGTGACAGATGAGGTCAGTCATTGGGAGATAATATCGATGGTAGCCAACTTAACTTTCACTTCAAATAGAAATTGTTTATGTTGATTGATCACATGAGAAGGTACCGTTCACTTCTTGACGAATAAACTTTTTTGTCCTTGCCCATGCGCACTGTTCATAATCGGATTCATTTTTGTGCACTAGTAATGCGTACAAAGGGAACTACTTTCAAAAGCATCCGTAGGTTCAGCTGCTTCGCAGAACTGCTCCCCACTTGTAAAAATGGCGCCCAAAAACCCGATCTTGTATCCCTTCGTTTTTTCCAGCAAAATACAGTTTAATGATATCCGCCTCCTTCTGCGCTCACCAGATTGATACATTGTGTCACTCATCGCCACCAGCATTTCAGCGGCAGTCAGCAGTTGGGCTTAAGATTCACCCCTCTGCACCGCATCAGTTTTGTGCTTTTTAACGCACTTCAAAGAAGAAACCTTCTATCCCAGAATTCTCTGAAGTGCTATTATGGTTTTCTCATAAGTATATCTGAGCCGTTCATATTCTAACTGCTCCTTTTATATTACGATGATACATATCGTCTTCGGTTAGGAGTAGTGGTGCTTTACATCAGCTTGCAAGCGTAGACAACCGATATTACCAGATTTCTGTCTTCACAGTTCAACTGATGCGAAGTTATTTTCTTCATTTCCAGATGTCATTAATAGACATTTGCAGACTTTGTGTGACTCTTCGTGAGTTGTCATTTCCAATCAGAATGTAAATAGCATATTGGTATGTTTTCACTGTGCTTTTATTTGAGATTAACGATGAGGATGACTCCAAATCCTTATGTACGAGTTTCATTACCTTGCATTAACACCACGCTCATTCCCTTTCTAGGTCTGCTTCTTGAACTTCGTTAAGTTGCGTTCTACCTCTTAATAGCAACGAAAGACAATTCTGTTGTAATAAACGAGTACCCATTTATTCATATAATTTAGAATAAAATATGATCATAAAACAACATAGGTTACAAGTTATAGACGTCGGGACGGTTGTCTATGTAGAGTGGAGGACGCGATGCATTTAGTTATTTTTCATGAAGTTCACATACCGGGCTGTTTATCCATGCAGTTTGACAAACCATTCAACGAATTAGGGAGAAGTCCTTGATTGTATGGTATCATCGGGTTAACCGGCGTCATAGGAATAGGCCGCGACACTGAGGAAAGTGCGCCGTACACTGAGTTATTGAGAGTTGAGATGCTTCGCAAATACAGCTCTGAGGAAGTCATGCCTGGGCTTGTCTGTAGGGCTGATACAGAAAACGAACCGTTGGGGTTCAGATGACCGGGATTGAATGTTGACCAAAACGGATTGTTGCTGAACACATTGTGGAACGCTGCATAACTGCCGGCTTCCGCCAGCAGCTCCAAACCGACCGCAGTCTGTCGTTTCCATTTCGTCCTGAAACAGAGAAGACAGCGATAAAGCGAATGGGTGAACATCGTCAACGCATGACACCAGACCTACCTTCTGTTCTGATACCAAGTTTTTACCTGGGTATCGGTCAAGTTCAATTTAGCGGCCAGTTCCATACGGTCCTGCACAGACAGATACTTTTGTCTCTCAAAACTCTTCTCCAATGTCTGCAGTTGGGCATCGGTGAATGCCGTGCGTGCCTTCCTCGTTTTCTTCGACTTGTCAGCGCTCGCGCTGACTGCCTCGTCACTCGGGCTGTAGGGCGCTGATCGAGGGTAGTCGCTGCCACTGCCACTGCAACCACCACTGCCGCTGCGGAAATCTGCCCCTGCCATTGAATGCTGACCGTAGCGATCTAACATAGAGCAAGCTGTACGCGTCACAAGTCACTTTCTGCTCTCGGATGTTACTTACCACCGACATCTTGCTCGACAAGTTCATCTCCAACGTAAAGTACATTCGCTCCTACCTCTAGCTTGTCGTTCAAAATGTCACAGATCCTGAAGGACGTCGTTTCACGTGAGCTGTTCGTTAGCTGAACTGCGCTAACCGTCGAAGGGGAGGTTGGAAACGCTTGTGCTTGGCTCTGCGATGCATCGACCTTAATGGAGTCGCCAGAGATACCGGAAGTCTGATGGTCGTCATCCATCCTCATGCTGCAAGGAGTGGACACAATTACCACTGAAGGTACACCGTTGTCCGCGTTCGACAGGCACCGACGCTGCGGCTGCTGATCGTCAGCCAGATTTTCCATGTCCTGTTGCCGCTGTTGATCGATCACCATATCGAACGTCTGTGCGTTCCTCGAGATAATCGCGCTAGAAATAAATTTCGCTAACGATTGTAGCATTGAAAATCGTACTACGGTAATTGATTGTATTTTCTGGTGTTTAGCGACATGTGAAACGCCAATCGTTCGGCTGTAAATCGTTTAGGGGGTGGAGCTTACTCTCTATTGGCCATTTTACCAACTGAAAGTTTGTTTGTATTGAATGACGCGCGCGGTTAATAAGCACGGATAAAGGAGAATTAACTTCTCAGTTTAAGTATGTAATTATCAGTTGATTATCCTTTTACGTTCAAATGGCAACTGTCTAATAAATATTCTTGCGAATGCTTACCGTTAGAGCGATGAAGATCGCGCTACACTGGCCGTCTGGACGGTCTACCGGTGAGGGTCCCTAATTGCCGGTAAACAGGTGGTCGTCGTGCTCAGATAGTCGATGGTGCTGGTTCAGTGCGCCGTTGGTTGATGCATTGGCTTAATTAATATGAGCATGTTGTTGTTTGCAGTGCCAGTCATTCAGAGACCGGCTTGCGTCGGTTTGCAGTAGTATACTGTAATGCAGTGGCATCGTCCCTTGGGAATGGCGGTTGTCTCTCCCAAAGCCTAAGTGTGCCACCATGAGTTCGTGCCTTTCTTTACTCGAATAGTCTACTTGTCGTTCACCGT